ACTATATATATATAAATATATATATATACAAAATCACATATGTGACTATATATATATACAAAATCACATATGTGACTATATATATATTATTTTATATACAAAATCACATGGGTAGACCAAAACTGTTCCCATCTGAATGACGACATCTTTAGGTGTGCAATGAGAGCATTTCTCTCTTCCTTCTTCTCTCTCACACATCCACATTAGGACTCTCTCTCTCTCTCTCACTCTCTCTCTCTCTCTGTCTGTGCTGCTCACAGGGAAATTTCTATATTTTTCTGAATAAATAAAGATCTGTATATAGAAATTGCACTCAAATATTTTAAAAAAACCAGCGTGAAAATCACATGACAACTGGAGGCACAACCGAGTGTTAAGTAGTAGAAAATGTTCCACCAATGTAGGCAGAAATAACTGGTCACAACACAGTGGAATCAGACGCTCCTCAATTTTTGGGCATATGGAGTCATTGGTAAAATCTTAAAGCTTGTTAATTTGTTTTTCTTTTGGTGAAAAAAATACCTGTCTATTTTTAACAGAAGTCGAGACATTATTTGCGATAGAAGGAGGTGGGGGTAACTGGTTTTCTGAGGAAAAATTTGCGAGAAAATGGCTGCCAAAGTTTGGTAACTTCTATAGCTTGAGAGTCTATGAAAAGTGAAAATTTGTATATTTCGTACCATTAATCAACGTTTTTCAGTAAAACTCAAATGGAAATGTATTTTTATATGGATATACAAGGGGCTGAGACAAAAAACAAAAATTCGACAAAATTTGTCAAAACTTGCCAAACTGGAGGAAAAATGCCTGTTTCTTCGATTTCATCATTTTGACGAGCGCCTGATTTCCCCATGATGCCCCACATTCTGTTTGACGTTTCTGAAATGCCCACACACACACATATTCCAGGGTATTTTACTGTAGAGAGCAGAAAGCTCCATGAAGCAACGGCCAATGCTGGAGGAGCTGAGGAGAAGATATTGCTTGTTTGAAACAGACCGCACCACAAGTACTGCAGAGATAGTTAACACTTTGAGCCCTGACCTCCTGAGGCTACCTTGCCCTTCTACCTGACCTCCTGAGGCTACCTTGCCCCTCTACCCGACCTCCTGAGGCTACCGTGCCCCTCTACCCGACCTCCTGAGGCTACCGTGCCCCTCTACCCGACCTCCTGAGCGATATATTACCAACATCCATATAGGGTCGTTTTTAAGCACAAAGGGGCTATCCTGAAAAATGCTGTTTTGAGAAAATTGAAGGTAAAGTTTTAGCCCCTTGTTCAGTTTCTTTAAAAGACAAGGAGAGTTTTCTCTATAACCAAACAAATATACACACCAATGAAACCAAACTTCTCCTATAGGTAGGGAAATGCACACTTTTGGTATAGGTCAAGATTTCTGGAAACCTCCGAAATCTGGGTTAGCCCGCTTGTCCTTAAAAGCGACCATATAATGGTAAGAATCACATTCCATATCCCACCCAGGGCAGTCCTAGTCATTTCCAGCATTTAATTCAGAAAGATCTTCAAAATAATCAATAATGTCTTGTGTAGTACACGTTGTTTTCCGTACATGTTTTATCTCAGGCGGGCAGGGTTGGGGATGGGTCTCACTCACTGCTGTACCAGTGGCTAGGGCTCAAAGGGTTGATGTATTAATGTACGTTTTTCATCCAAGAAGAATTGAAGGAAAACACAAAAGAGACAGACTGCTGGACAGGAATTCTGAGTCGTTTTTTCTTTCTTTCTTTACATGGTTTGTTTCATGAGCTTGCTGAGAACGTTGGGGATCTTCTGCGGCTCTGTGTTACGTGCTTTGTTTCATCAGCTTGCTCAGAACGTTGGGGATCTTCTGCGGCTCTGTGAACTTGACCATGACGTAGACCTGGTCGAAACAGTAGAGCCCGCACATGGGCACCAGCGAGGGGAAGCGGACGTTGAACTGGCACAGCACCGAGTTGTTGCCAGGACTCACGATGGCCAGCTTCCTCTTGAGCGCATCCAAGTAGAACGCCAGTTTGATCGTCTTCTCCTGGTCGTTGTCCAGGTCGAGGACGGGGATACTCCGAGGGAGGATCTCTCGGTCCGGACCGTTCCAGAACTCGAGAGTGACCTTGTTCTGTCGGCGCACGAGGTACGAGCAGTAAGACTTGAAGTTGTCGCACAGCAGACTGGAGCCGTCCTCGCAGCCCTGCTTCACCACGCCAAGGTCACAGAGGAGCTTGGAGTTGCCCAATTTGCCGAACACCCGGAAGTGGATGATGGCCTCCCAGTAAAGGTGGGGGAGGAGGGGCAGGGCTTCGTCTGCGATGGCGCCCTCTATGTGTTCCAGGCGCTGGAAGCTGGTGGTGGCGGCACACGCGTTGTGTAGGTTCGACAGTTTGCACTTCCTGTGGACCACCTCGTCTCTGGAGGCCGACACCGCGATACGTTTGTGACACGTGGTGGGGCTGAACCTGGCCTTGAAGCCTGGGGGAGGGGGGGGGGGAGAGAAGAAATGTTGGAGTAAAGAGAATTGCAAAAATATGATAACAGTAAGTGCCAGGGAAAAATGAATTGTTTTTTAAAACGTAAGGAGTTTTTTAAAAATCCCCTCGACACAGTTTAGATCATTTAGGAAGGGGGCTTTGACCCCGCCTGACAACATCAATCTGGGCTGAGAGGGAAACAAAATCCCAGCAGAAAAACTGAGACAACTCGATAAAAATTCCCCTCCACTCGGGAACCGAACTCAAGTTACCTGCTGGTAATGGTGAAGTGCCTGACCGCTACAACACAGACCTACTCCCTCCTCCCTTCCTACACTCCCATCTTTCACAGTGGGTGGGTGGTTGGCGGGTGCTCTGGTGTGGGATGCTCCTTCTAGCTCATCAAACATCTATCATTTTTAAAAATCTCTTCTTTTCTTTGTACTTGACCCTCCAGTTACACCTCTAACCTTTGGCACTTGTATGACCTATTGTGTTGCAAGTGCTGTTACACTCTTATTAAATATAAAAACACCTCAAATCTTTGGCATTTATAGGACTTCATCGTGTTGCAAGTGCTGTAAAACTCTTCCAAAAACCCCCAACTCACAGTGCACGTATGTGTTACAAGTGCCGTAAATC